CAGATACACAAGTTATGGAAAAACAACAAACCAAAACAAAAAAACAAAAAAAACAAAAATTAAATAAATAAATAAATAAATAAACCTGATAAAGTTATGAATTATCTTGCATAAATAAGTTGTTGATTTTCTTCACTCAGTTATTACCAGCAAAATGGTTGCATGTTTAGCCATTTGAGACTTTACTCAGATTATTTATTTATTTAGACAGAGATCTTGACCCCCAATGTTCAGCACAAAGTTACGCCCATGTACCTCAGACAGTGTCACTGATTCTTATTCATCCAAACATTTTTTTCTGGTTGGGCAGTTGAACTCTGTGTTAAGAGATTAAGTAATACTGTGAGCAGTTTATGATTAACTTATTCCTCAGTGTGTCACAAAAAGCATTGAAGACAATCAGATGAAGGGTGTGATTTTAATCACTGTGAATATGCCAAGCTGCAGCAAACAAGCTGGGTCAGATGTCATGTGACGTCATGTAGACATATTTACCTTTTTAAACACTCAGATAGTGTAGCATGAAACACAGCAGGATAATGGCTGGGATCAAGTGTGTTGTGTTTTTGTTGGTCCTGACTTTTCAGTGGACTTTTATAAGAGGAGGTGAGTAGAAAATTCATTGCACATATTATCTTAATCTATTTTAAATACAAATCACAGTTATGATGTTTACCAACCAAATATAGGAGGTACTGGATAGAGCGACTGAGTCAAACTTAGAAGCTTCCAAAGCAGAAAGCTCAGGTATAAATCTCAGAAATTACAGGTACAACGAGAAACCTCTTTTTCTTTTTGATCCAATCATTGTGCAGTGAAGTAGGAATATGGTTTAAACAATGTTTGAGTGCATAATAGTGAGTTTGTCCTCTATACCAACAGTGAGGATTTAATTAAACCGATGTGGAAGCAGATTTATTTTCTCATGAATTAATCACGTATTTTAATCATAATCATATCACATTAGTGATAGTAATGAAACTTTCTCACTTAGTTGTATGCATGTGCACTTGTAATGGGAGACGTTAAACAGATAGTGAGACTGTTTATCAGGGATGTAAATCCTCACGTGACGGCCAAGCAGAAAACAAGGTCATAATTCTCTCTGTGAGGGAGAAGGCTTTAAGGATGGGGCTGAAGGGGCCAACATGTAAGAGTTTGTGGAATGTTCTTTGTCTGTGTCTCTGTTTATAAAGGTGCAAGGGCGGTGGCTACAGTTCAGAGATCACCCTAGTTTTGGCTGGGATGTTTCTCTCTGCATTGCAACACATTGCAGTGCGGAGAGAATATCCCTCGGTGCCCTCGGTGTGCCTGAGAAGAGTAAGAAAATAAATATACACTTTGGGACCAGGGGTAAAGGATCAATAACAATATAAAATTTACAGTTTGATGATTTAAAGTCTCACACACAACCCGTCGAAAGGG